AGTAGAGACAGGGTTTCACCATGTTGGTCAGCCTGGCCTTTAACTCCTGACCTGTGATGTGCCTGTTTCAGCCTCCCAAAGTGGTGGGATTACAGGTGTAAGCCACTGCGCCCGGCCTGCTGTCAGTCTTTCTACAACCCAAGACCTTTATAAAATACATGTGAGTGTTGTAACCTTCTGTGACCTTTTAAAATTAGGAGACCAAAGACCTTACTTATTGCACTAAGTCTCCCTATGAAAGTCAACATTTCTCCTATTGGCTGGCTCCATGTAAAAAAGTAATTATTATGACTGTTGCTTGGGCCTAGGTATAGGTCACAATCCCACCTGTGAGCAGGACCAGGGAGAAAAGTCACAACACCTGAATGCTGGGCCAGGAAAATGTCAATATCTCTCAGTAACAGGGCTCACATAGGAAAGTCACATCACCTTTGTTCTAGGTTCAGTAATATGTCACATTTTCCACTGTGGATAGAGTCCAGGCAAAAGAATCACATCATCTTGGTGCTTGGTCCAGCAATGTGTCACAATTCTTTGTGTAGGCAGGGCCCATGAAGCAAAGGGAGTCACATCACCTAGGTGCTGGGCCCAGCAATATCAAAATTCCCCGTTAACAGGGCCCAGTCATGAAAGGAGAGTTATTTAATCTCAGTAATATGCCCATATATGTGTCATAAACCTTACTGGAGGTAGGGCACAAGAAGAAAAGTAGTCTTGTGGGCTTGGTTCAGGCAGGATGGCCATGTCACCTAGGTGTTTGGGCCAGGTATATGTCATAATTCCAAATGTAGGCTGGGCACAGTCTGGCAAGAAAGTAAAATCAATCAGGTGCTGAGAAAAAATACATGCCACAGTCACACCTGCAGGAAGATCCAGAGATGAGATTGTCAGTCCCACTGTATAAGAGACAGCATTCTCTGTACATTGTGTTTGAGTATCAATTCACAATTGCAATGGTGAAGAGAATTCATGCATAAGAGTTCCAAACTCACCTGGAGAAAGTGTCTAATCAGGGTAGTCACAGCCTCACAGGAGTGCTGAGTCTTGGTTTGAAAGTAGCCATTCTATCTATGGACTAATCCACAATCCAGAGTCACAATATTAACTTTCAATTAATCTGGGTGTAATCCTCAGAACCTCAATAATGGACTATGTTTATATGGAAGGATGACATGCCTCACTGAATGCTGTGTGTACATAGAAGTATCACAATCTCACCTGTTTGCTGGGCCTTTATGTGACACCCTCTGCACAACTCAAGGGCTTCATATGGTATGCCTGAGAGTAAAAACCCGTGCTGAGGCCTTCATACTGGTATAAACTCATGGTCCCACATGTTTCCCTGAGTTCAGGAATAAGAGTCCACACCTTTTTTATTGGCTGGATCCAGGTCTGACAGTCATCAGTGTGCCTGTGAGCTGGGTTCACAAATGAGTCACCATCCTGCTTGTCACATATGACAGTAACAGTTCCAGCTGTGCACTGCTTCTGTGGAGTGGGATTCAGGACCTCATCAGTGGATTTGTTCACATTTAATAGCAAACTGTGGGCTGTGTGTGCATAAGAGATTCACAATCTCAATTTTGAGTTGGGCTTTGTTTTGATACTCTCTGTACAACCCGAGGGCATTACACAATAGGCAGGAGGGGTGTAATTCTCTGTGACCTGTGTAAAAGTAAGAAACTCAGGGCTTTATCTGTTGTCCTAAGACTAGATATGAGAGTCAACATCTCTTCTATTAACTGGGGCCAGGTGTAAAAGACAACACCATGCCAAACAGTTGAGTCAAAAAAAAAAAAAAAAAATTGGTGGCCGGGGCCTAGTTCTGCGAGGCTGGGCTGACGGCAGCGTTGGCGGTGGGAAACGGGTGACCCGCGGCGGGATGCCTCGGACATGACTGCGGAGGTGCAGCAGGATGACGCAGCCAGCGCGGCCGACAGCCACGGCTCGAAGTGATAGACATTACTCATGATAACAAAGATGATCTTCAGGCTACCATTGCTTTGAGTCTACTGGAGTCTCCCAAAATTCAAGCTGATGGAAGAGATCTTAACAGGATGCATGAAGCAACCTCTGCAGAAACTAAGCGCTCAAAGAGAAAACGTTGTGAAGTGTGGGGAGAAAACCCCAATCCCAATGATTGGAGGAGAGTTGATGGTTGGTCAGTTGGGCTGAAAAATGTTGGCAATACATGTTGGTTTAGTGCTGTTATTCAGTCTCTCTTTCAATTGCCTGAATTTTGAAGACTTGTTCTCAGTTATAGTCTGCCACAAAATGTACTTGAAAATTGTCGAAATCACACAGAAAAGAGAAATGTCATGTTTATGCAAGCGCTTCAGTATTTGTTTGCTCTAATGGGATCAAATAGAAAATTTGCAGACCCGTCCACAACCCTGGCTCTATTAAAGGGAGCATTCCGGTCATCTGAGGAACAGCAGCAAGATGTGAGTGAATTCACACACAAGCTCTTGGATTGGCTACAGGACACATTCCAGCTAGCTGTTACTGTTAACAGTCCCAGGAACAAATCTGAAAATCCAGTGGTGCAGCTGTTTATGGTACTCTCCTGACTGAAGGGGTTCGTGAAGGAAAACCCTTTTGTAACAATGAGATCTTCGGCCAGTATCCTCTTCAGGTAAATGGTTATCGCAACTTAGAGGAGTGTTTGGAAGGAGCCATGGTGGAGGGTGATGTTGAGCTTCTTCCCTCTGATCACTTGGTGAAGTATGGACAAGAGCGTTGGTTTACAAAGCTACCTCCGGTATTGACTTTTGAACTCTCATGGTTTGAGTTTAATCAGTCCCTTGGTCAGCCAGAGAAAAATCACAATAAGCTGGAATTTCCTCAGATTATTTATATGGACAGGTACATGTAAAGGAGCAAAGAGCTTATTTGGAATAAGAGAGAGTGCATTCGAAAGTTGAAGGAGGAAATAAAAGTTCGGCAGCAAAAATTGGAAAGGTATGTGAAATATGGCTCAGGCCCAGCTCGGTTCCCGCTCCCTGACATGCTGAAATATGTTATTAAATTTGCTAGTACAAAACCTGCCTCAGAAAGCTGTCCACCTGAAAGTGACACACACATGACATTACCACTTTCTTCAGTGCACTGCTCGGTTCCTGACCAGACATCAAAGGAAAGTACGAGTACAGAAAGCTCTTCTCAGGATGTTGAAAGTACCTTTTCTTCTCCTGAAGATTCTCAACACAAGTCTAAACCACTTATATCTTCTCGGTCTTCCATGGAAATGCCTGCACAGCCAGCTCCAAGAACAGTCACAGATGAGGAGATAAACTTTGTTAAGACTTGTCTTCAGAGGTGGAGGAGTGAGATTGAACAAGATATACAAGATTTAAAGAATCGTATTGCAAGTACTACTCAGGCTGTTGAGCAGATGTACTGTGATCCTCTCCTTCGTCAGATGCCTTATTGCTTGCATGCAGTTCTTGTTCATGAAGGACAAGCAAATGCTGGACACTATTGGGCCCATATCTATAATCAGCCCAGTCAGAGATGGCTCAAGTACAATGACATCTCTGTTACTGAATCTTCCTGGGAAGAAGTTGAAAGAGATTCCTATGGGGGCCTGAGAAATGTTAGTGCTTACTGTCTGATGTACATTAATGACAAACTACCCCACTTCAACGCAGAGGCAGCCCCAAATGAGTCAGATCAAATGTTAGGAAGCCTTATCTGTGGAACTTAACCATTACATTCAGGAGGATAACTGGCGATTTGAGCAAGAAGTAGAGGAGTGGAAAGAAGAGCAATCTTGCAAAATCCCTCAAATGGAGTCCTCCAACTTCTCATCACAGGACTTCTCTACATCACAAGAGCCTTCAGTAGCCTCTTCTCATGGGGTTCGCTGCTTGTCATCTGAGCATGCTATGATTGTAAAGGAGCAGGCTGCCCAGGCTATTGCAAACACAGCCCGTGCCTATGAGAAGAGCGGTGTAGAAGCAGCACTGAGTGAGGCATTCCATGAGGAATACTCCAGGCTCTATCAGCTTGCCTAAGAGACCCCCATCTCTCACAGTGATCCTCGACTTCAACATGTCCTTGTCTACTTCTTCCACAATGAAGCACCCAAAAGGGTAGTAGAACGAACTCTTCTGGAACAGTTTGCAGATAAAAATCTTAGCTATGATGAAAGATTAATCAGCATTATGAAGGTGGCTCAAGCGAAACTGAAGGAAATTGGTCCAGATGACATGAATACGGAAGAGTACAAGAAGTGGCATGAAGCTTATAGTTTGTTCTGAAAAGTATCTGTGTACCTCCTAACAGGCCTAGAACTCTATCAAAAAGGAAAGTACCAAGAGGCACTTTCCTACCTGGTATATGCCTACCAGAGCAATGCTGCCCTGCTGATAAAGGGGCCTTGCCAGGGGGTCAAGGAGTCCATGATTGCTTTATACTGAAGGAAGTATCTTCTGGAGCTGAATGCCAAAGCAGCGTCTCTCTTTGAAATGAATGATGATCACTCTGTAACCGAGGGCATTAATGTGATGAATGAGCTGATCATCCCCTGCATTCACCTTATCATCAATAATGACGTCTCCAAGGATGACCTGGATGCCATTGAAGTCATGAGAAACCATTGGTGCTCTTACCTTGGGCAAGATATTGCAGAAAATCTGTAGCTGTGCCTAGGGGAGTTTCTACCCAGACTTCTAGATCCTTCTGCAGAAATCATCGTCTTGAAGGAGCCTCCAACTATTCAACCCCATTCTCCCTTTGACCTATGTAGCCGATTTGCAGCTGTCATGGAGTCAATTCAAGGAGTTTCAACTGTGACAGTGAAATAAGCTCCCATGTGTTCAAGGCCTATTATGGTTTCTGGCTGACTGCCGCTTGCACAGAAGTCCGTTGTCACAGTGCTCATCTTGGGAAAAGGATTAGGTGGGCACATAAGATTCCAATTCAGACCCCAACCATGCTGGGTGTGTAAAGAAGGATTGAAAATAAAATTGTACTTTTTACGTACAAAATCATAAATGCTATTTCACTAGAAAAGGTGGAAACCAGTGTATTAAGGTGTTGAATTATGCCAGAAGACCTGAAATGCCTTGTATCTACAGCAATGCTTAGCCTTGCCACTTTTAAAACTATCCTTCAGGCATAAATATTTTTGACAGCAGAATAGAATGATTCATGAGAACCTGAAGTAGATGAACAGCTACTATTCATTGTATCAAATACAGATGACATTTAAAAATTCTTCACTACAAAAGATTAGGAATATATTGGGCCGGGCGCGGTGGCTCAAGCCTGTAATCCCAGCACTTTGGGAGGCCGAGGCGGGTGGATCACAAGGTCAAGAAATCGAGACCATCCTGGTC